TCCTAGATTATGCAAGTGATTTGTAATCAGCTACTAACATACAGATAGGTTGTTGGAACCCACCTAGTGGTGCTGTGGAAAAAAGGCCTGAAGATCTGCTTTTATGAAGATGATAGCCAAGAAAATCCAATGGAGCAGTTCTGCTTATCACGTGGGGCTGTTGTGAGTTGGAATTGACTAAATGGAGATAGTTTTTTTCTCTTTTTAAAATTTCTTAGTCCATGTTCTCTTTCCTGTTTTCTGTCTTTCTTTTACCTCCTGTACTGTTCCCTCCTCTCTCTATCCTCCTTATCCCATAACCTCAGGGACAGAAAGAGAAAAGCCTCCTAGCTCCCTCTTCCCTCTACACTCACCCAGGAGTTATAGGTGAGTGTTTATGTATGTGTGTGTGTGTGGGGGGGGAGGGCATAAGACAGTGGGTCATTTTCCAAAGAAATATTTTTTTTTAAGATTGCATTTAATTTCTCTAATGGCTTAATTAAATTCTTTGACTTTAAATTTTAAGGAGCTCTGGTGGCACTGTGGGTAAGACATTTGGCTGCTAACCAGAAGGTCAGTGGTTCAAACTCACCAGCTACTCCATGGGAGGAAGATGAGGTGATCTACTTCTGTAAATATTTACAGCCTTGGAAATCCAATGGAGTTTGCTATGAGTTGAAATTAACTTAATGGCAGTGGGGTTTTTGGCTAATTTAATTTTTCTAATGGCTTCTGTGATTGTTGAAATAAAATTCTTTGATTTAAAATTTTAAGGCCATCTGGTAGGAGCTCTGGTGTCATAGTGCCTAAGGCATTTGACTGTTAACCAGGAGGCTGGTGGTCCAACCTCACCAGCCACTCCTCGGAAGGAAGATTGGGCAATCTACTTCCATAGAGATACTGCCTTGGAAACCCAAGGAGGGGTTGCTATTAGTTGGAGTTGACTTGAGGACAGTGAGATTGGCGTTTTTGTTTTTTCTTTTCCTTTGGGGGTGAGGTAGTTGGTCATTGGTTGGGACTAGTAGACCATGTGATCCTCAGCCTAAATGACTATAGGACCAGAAGAACTAGATGGTGCTGGGCTACCACTGTCAACCACTCAGAGGGGTACTGGTGCAGGAGATCCTGGATAGAGTGGGAGAACAATGTGGAACAAAACTCAAAATCATAAAAAAAGAGACCAGGTTTGCTGGTCTGATAGAATCTGGTGACACCCCTGAGACTATGGTCCGTAGTTACCCTTCAGGTCTGGAACTGAACTTACTCCTGTGGCTTCCAGCCAAACAATAGGTATATAGGGTGATCATTTACATCAGGTAGATACATTCCCTGGAGCAGATCAATCGTGGGAGAACAGAAGGGCAGTGTTTGTACAGGGACATAGATGGGGGGAGGGGAGTGCCTGGGAGGCAAGAGGTAACTACCGGGAGAAAGTGGGAAGAGTGCTGTTACACTGTGGGGAATTCCAGTCAATGTCATGAAACAAAATGTGTATGAAGTACTGTATAGAAAATGAATTTGCTCTGTAAACAACACTTGTACCAAATTCCAAGTTCCTTACCTATTAACAGTTTGGCTACAGATAAAGAAAAAATTTAAAGTCATCTAAACTTTTATTCCTAGTGAACAATTTTTGTGGGGAGTGTTGTTAAATCGCAGTTCTTAAGTATCTGATAATCTTACAAATACAAGTCAATTGCTTTTTTAAAATGAGTTAACTTCCCTCCAATCCTTTATCATTTCATCCTGTCCTATTACTAAAGTCTCACCTGGCCTACATTAGACCTTAGACACTCTTTCTTTCCTCCTGAAATGTGGCTTCATTCAGTCCTTTTTGGATAAAAATGCTTTCAAGTTTCTCCTGTTTCCAAACCCATCTAACTCAAATGGTAAGTTTAGCTCGCCCCCCCCACCCCAAAAGGAACAAATAAAAAGTAATGTGTGTTCATTGTAAACAAATCAGGTACTACATAAAGATGCAAACAAGAATGTGGTGGGCCCCTACAGCCTCACCACCCAGAGGTAAACATAGTTATTAATCAGGTTTGTTTTCAGAGCTTTCAAAATCCCACATGTCCATTCCTCAGAGTTAAATATAGAATTGCCACAGGACCCAGCAATTCCACTCCTAGGTATATACCCAAAAGAACTGAAAGCAAGAACACAAACAGAAACCTGTACACCAATGTTCACTGCAGCATTTTCACAATAGCCAAAAGGTATGCCCATCGAAAGATGTGTCATCAATGTGTTACCATCCATACAATGGAGTATTAAGCATTTGACTGCTGCAGGGTAGTAAATTACTTAGTGTGGCTTTTCTAGCCATGAGTTTTTGTAAACTCTGTGGTGAAATTTGCTGTGAGAAACTAAGGAGCTCCTGATTGTAAAAGTTATCCACTTGGGGGTATTTCTGTTGGGCGCAATGGGTGCCACACAAAGCAATGTTCTGGGAGGTTCCTGCTCTCTCTCAGGTGCTTAGAATTCTGATGTTATGACTGGCTGATTTGACCACTCTGCCAGGCTCAAAAGGAGGCCTCCTAGAGGCAGAAGAAGTCTCTCTGACTGCTGGTTGAGGAAGACATGCTGCTGAAAGAGTCACGTGCTCCTGAAAGAGACACGCGCTGCTGGGAGAGATGCAAGACATGCATTGCTGAGTGAAACACCGAGGGACGCTCACTGTTGGGAGAGAGACTGTGGGCTGGGGACACTCACTTTTGGGAGAGAGACTATGGGCTGGGAGAGAGACTGAGTGTTTTTTCCTGAACTTGAATTGTAGCCTGATGCTTCCCTAATAAACCCTGTAATCTGTGAGTTCTGTGTGGCCAATGCAGTGAATTCTCGAACCCAGGAGAGAGGTGGTGGGTGCTTTGGGAGGAACGGTTGGTGACAGGGCTGGAGGGAGGCAGCATGTCTGGCCTTGCAGTAATAGGCCTTGGATTACTGATGGTGATCCTGTCTTCCTCTTGTGGAAGAGGTTAGAAGATGGGGCCTCCTTGTATTTTTAGCAACTGCTAACCAGAAGGCTGGTGGTTCAAACCCACCAGCCACTCCTCAGAAAGAAGGTTGGGCAATCTACTTCTATAGTGATACTGCCTTGGAAACCCAAGGAGGAGTCGCAATGAGTCAGGTTCAAGTGGACAGCAGTGAGTTTTGTTTTGGTTTGGTTAAAGAGAAATAAAGTTCTGACACATGATACAACTTGAATGAATCTTGAAACATTATGCAGAGTGAAATAAGTCAGACACTGAAGGACAATTCTGACTGGTCCCACTTATATGAAATATCTAGAATAAATAAAAGCACAGAGATCAAAATTTGTTAGTGGTTACCAGGGGTCAGTGGGAGATAGGTAGGTATCCCTTAAGGAGTATGACTTTCAGTTAAAGGTGATGAAAATATTTGGGACAGATGATGAAGGTTGTACAACATGGTGAACATAATTAATGTCACTGAATTAAACATGTAAAAATGGTTGAAACATCACGTTTTGTTATATAATTTTACCACACACATTAAAAAAAAACAACAACGTATGTCCAACCTTGTTTCACATGGCTCCCTCCCCTACTCCACCACCTCTGGTCCAGCTCAACTCCTCGAGCCCCACAACTGAGTGTTCATTCCTATTTCTATGTCTTTGTTCTTGATATTCCATTATATGTAATTGCTCCATTTTAACCTCCACACATCCAATTCATTCTGAATTCTAAAAATCTAGCTCAAGTCCCACCTGCCCTATGAAGCCCTCCAGGTCCTACCAATATACAGAATGTGTATTGCGTGTGCCATGCAATTCAACTATAAAACTATCTTCTTTTGATGTTACTGTGTCTCCCTCCTGGACTATACACTGTCAGGGACCTGGGATTATGCCTTATGCTTTTCTGGAGCCATGTTCCGAATACATGGTAGACAGTCAGGAAATATCTAATAAATTTGATTACATAAATAATTAATTGAGTGGCTTTTTTAATTTAGTGAAAGTTCTTACTCGATTCTTTAAAAGACTAAATCTAATTCTTTAGAAGTTTTAGGCCAATCCAAAAGGAACCCTGGTGGCACAATGGGTAACCGTTCAGCTGCTAATAGAAAGGTCTGTTGTTCAAACCTACCAGCAGCTTTGTGGGAGAAAGATGAGGCAGTCTGCTTTCATAAAAGAAGTACAGCCTTGGAAACCCTATGGGGCAGTTCTACTGTATCTTGTACAGTTGCAATGAGTCAGAATTGACTTGACAGCAACAGGTTTGGTTTGTTTTGCTTTAGGCCTATCCAAAAACCAAACTCATTGCTGTCAAGTTGATTCTGCCCCATGGTGACCCCATGTGGTACAGAGTAGAACTGCACTCCATAGGTTTTTCTTGGCTGTAATCTTTAAAAGCAGCAGATTGCCAGGCCTTTCTTCCATGGCATCTCTGAGTAAATTTGATTATTAGTCAAGCACAAAACATTTGTGCTACCTTCTAGGCCTATAGGTCACTGATAATTCACATGGATATCCTGAAAATGTTTTTAAATTCTCTCCCTCAAACGACCACATCTATTCCTGTAGTGCCTGTGTAGTCTAGGTGCCAGTGAAGACAGGGATCTTTCCCAAGGGAGCTCTTTGCTTCCGGTGCAAAGTGGACGTGTTGCTGGGACATTATTTACTCCCTGCTCACTAAACTGTCCCCCCTCCTATAATCATCTCATCAGGTTTACACAATCCAAGATGCTGACTGTGATGCTACTTCATAAATCAGTGACCAAATTGCCTGTTGTTGCTAAAGTGTCCAGGTGATGAATGTCTTTCTGCATCTTCTTAGTACAGAATATGTTGATTGATTTAAGAAAGGTTCAGATTCAGTCAAGGGCTGTGAAGGGCTCCCTGACACTGAGGACTAAACATCTGAGGACTGTGAACCCATGTTATAAAGAATCAGCTACTAGCAGTACAGGGGTAGAGGCATGCTCGCTGCCTCAAAGTTGTATTTGTGCAGAATTTGTAAATGTCTAACTAAGGGTTGGGGGTTTACACTTACCTCTCATCACATTTAATCAGAATCACGCTGTCCGTTCCAATTCCTAAGGCTGCGGCTCCCTTCTTGAGCGAAAAATGACTCTATAAAAAGCATATTTATAATCAGTTGCATATAAAGTCAAGATCCATTCTCTTAGCTGTTTTTTGTTTTGTTTAAAACCCTTTTTTCTCCTTCTATTTTTCAATCTGTCACTTCAAAGCCTCGGTTGCTGAGAGAAGGTGGTATCCATTTCTTGTGCTTCTTGAAGGAAGATTACAAAGGACTAGGAATTGTAAAGGAGTCCCTGGATGGTACAAATGGCTAAGAACTGAGCTACTAACCAAAAGAGGGGTTGTTCGAATCCACCCGAGGTGCCTCGGAAGAAAAGCTTGGCTATCTACTTCTGAAAACTCACAGCCACTGAAAACTCTATAGAGCACTGTGCTACTCTGACAAATGGGGTCACCATGTACTGGAATTGACCAGTTGGCAACTGGTTTGTTTTTTGGTTTTAGGGAATTGCAGATCAACCTGATACCCCAACCCCACACAGTAACTCCAAGGCAATTTTACATAGAAGACATAATATTGTGTTAACAACCTCCAGCAGCTATGTACCGTATGTCTCCCAGACCTACATTATTTAGTTTATACTTAGTGTCTGAGGAGTTCAGTGAATTGTGTGCCCTCAACTAAGAGAAGTTGGTCTTAAATCCAGCACCTTCATTCCAGAGTTGTTGTGCAGGTGGCTATCAACAGAGAAACCCCTCACCATGCTGGAGGAATGTTCTGGAAAGAGGTTTCAGTTATTAACGGTGGCAAAATGGCTTGTCTGTGCGTGGAGAGCAGGCCCTGGTGACAAACCAACAGTGGGAGAGACTAAATCTTTGTGTTCTTGGTTACTGATTTGGGGTAGGATTTTGAAGTCTCAATGGCTGTAATCACGGTGCAATTTGGAGCTCTGAGAAAGGCTAACCTAAGCCCAGCTGTACTGCATCTGCCCCTCAGACTCTCACTATTAACTACAGATCATTAAGCTGTCCAAAAGGAGAGCTGCTTCCTCAATTTACATCTCCAAAGTGTTCCTGACTGGAATTTTAAACTATGATTCCAAAGAGTATATTTTCTCTTCTAATGTACACTTTTGACTCATCTGAATTCTTAAGTATGCAGCATTGGGGGCTGGTGCATAATTAACAAGAAGAAATCACATTTATAACAATAGTAACTAAAGTAAACCAAAAAATTAGGCACTGAATAGAGAAGTTTAAAAGCCTGGTGTCACTCAAAGGAATGAGAAAATGCTATTAGCCTCATTTTACAACCTCAGAAAGACTGAGTGCACAAGTGTACCAAGATATCTGGAAACTAAGAGAGAAAGTGAAATAAGGCTAGGGTTTATAAAGATACACAACTTCCCCTACCAAGAAATAAATACAAACAAAAACATGTTCTTGCTTGCATACTTAAAATAGCCCCAGGCAACCTTGCCGAGCTCTAGTGGTGCAGTGGTTAAAGCACTGGGCTAATAACCAAAAGGTCAATGGTTTGAGCCCACTAGCTGTTCTGTGGGAGAAAGAGACACAGTCAGCTTCTTTCAAGATTTATAGCATTGGAAACCCTATGTCCTATAGTAGTGCTATCAGTCAGAATCAACTCGATGGCAGTGGGTTTGGTTTTTGGTTTGGGGTAACCTCAAAGAGGAGAAGCTCACAGGAAAATAGTACTAAGTCTCTGATTGCCAGGAGGGCACAGAGCAAAAAAGGCAGCTGTCCCTATTGAACAAGCACAAGCTACTCCAATTATGCCCCTCGGTGAATGCCTTTAAGTACTAAAAAGCAAAATGGCAAATTAGGGATAAATAAGAGATCTGTGCACCTGGTCAATGAGAGTAAGTATTCTTGTCTGGTCTTTAATGAAGAAGAATAGGGATTCTCAAATGAGGAGCAATTACCCGAGATAATTGATCACAGTACAAATGCCACAAATGTAAAGAAAAACATATGCCCAGATAGAAAGCTTAAGAATGGGGAACAGAGGTGACATGAGGCATGAAAAAGAAGATTAGGTACCAAACACTGAGTCTGTTGATATTTTCAGGAAAGGGAACAGAAAAATAGCTAAATGTTATCCACAAATAGCAAGGGACCCATGAGAGGAAGGAACTTGAAAGGGAAAATAAGAGACATGACCTAATGAGGAAGAAACAGTGAAAACAGCTTAAATGGTGCTGGTGAGATGACATTGGGGGGGGGGGGTTGTTTTTAATCCTTGGCACCATGTTTAGTAGAACTACTTGTTGATGAACCAGAGAAGCAGTCTCCAAAGAACAGCCTTCTGGATGGTGAAAAGCCTGGAAACCAGGTGTCTAGAAAAAACTCGGGGGGTGGGGAATGGTACAGAGGTAGAATTCTAGACTTCCATGTGAGAGACAAAGGTTCTAATCCTAACAAATGCACCTCATGTGAAGCCACCTCCCATTGGTCATTGGAGGCTCATGTCCTGCTATGATGCTAAATAGGTTTCAAAGGAGCTTCTAGACTAAGACAGACTAGGAAGGAAGGCCTGGAGATCTATTTTCAAAAATAGTCAGTGAAACCCTATGGGTCATAAGGGTCTGGTTTGCACAGAACCAGGCAGTGTTTCATTCTGTTGTGCACAGGGTTGCCATATATCAAGGGGCTGGCTCAATGGATGGTAACAGCAACAGAAAAAACTCAGGATGCTCAGTTATGAGCAGAGGGCATTAGAGACACATGGCATGGGTGGCTTCATATGTGAAGTGCTGTCCCAAGGCAGGGGGCAGGTGATTGGGAGATGAATAGACTAACCTGGGTGACTTCAGAGGCAAAACTATGAACAAAAATTGGAAGCTTCCAATTGGCACAATATAGTACATAAAAATCCTGTTCTATATCCTACTTTGGTGATTAGTCACTGGGGTCTTAAAAGCTTTTGAGTGGCCATCTAAGATGCAACTACTGGTCTCCTCTCATCTGGAGCAAAGAAGAGTGAAGAAAATCAAAGTCATTTGGAAACAATTATTTCAAAGATATGATGGACCACGAGGACCTCAGCCTTCATAACCCTGAGACCAGAAGAACTAGATGGTGCCCAGCTAATAATGCCAGCCACTCAGAAACAGATCAAAATTGAAGATCCTGGATAGAGTGGGAGGGAAAATGTGGAACAAAATTAAAAAAACACAAAAATGACCAGAATTACTGATCATATAGAGGCTGGTGGAATCCCTGAGACTATGGTCCTGGGTTATACTTCAGGCCTAGAAGTGGACTCACTACTATGGATTGGCTCTCACCTAACAGTAGAAAGACCTACAAGCAGAACACCTACCCTAGGGAGATGCACCCCTTAGATCAATTAGCCATGAGACATCAGGGGGCAGCATTCACATAGCAGGAAAGCTGGACAGACAGGAGTGGCATAGATAAGAAGGGCACAGGGAAGGGGTAGTCACAGGGAGGAGGGGAGGAGAGCTTTTTACAATTGGGGATTGTAATCAGGGCCATGAAATCAAACATGCATGAACTATTGAGAGTTAAATGAATCTTCTTTGTAAATGTGAACCCATATCACGATTAAAAAAAAGTTGGAAGATTCAAGGATTCAGATTTGTCCCCAAATAATAATGACTCTTCTAATAATCAGTTGTCCATCAATAGAATGGCTGAAGAATGAGCTAATGGGCAGCACCACACCTTTCCCCACCCTAATGTGGGAAAAATAATAGAACTTGGGCAGACTCTAATGCTTATTGATGACTATTAAATCATATTTCTATTTAAGGGTTATTGTTTTTGTCTTGTGTCATTGAGTTGATTCCAACTGATGGTGACCTCATGTGTTACAAAGTAGAACTGAGTTTCAGAGGGTTTTCTTGGCTATAACCTTTATGGAAATAGATCACCAGTCCTTTTCCTCTGTGGTGCTACTGGATGGGATCCTATGGCCAACTTTTTGATTACCAGATGAGCACAAACCATATGACCACTCAGTTACCTTTTGTGTGTGTGTGTGTGTGTGTGTATATATTAAATAAATAAAAATAATAAATAAATAAATAAATGGAACCCTGTGGCACAGTGGTTAAACCCTTGGCTGCTAACTGAAAGTTTGGCAGTTCAAACCCATCAGCTGCTCCTTGGGAGAACAATGTGACACTCTGCTTCCCTAAAGATTTACAGCCTTAGAAACCCTATGGAGCAGTTCTACTTTGTCCTCTAGGGTCGTTATGAGTAGGAATTAACTTAATGGCAATGAGTTTAGATACTAAAACCCATAGGATTTCCATTCCATACTAAATTAAAAAATCAAGGCTGAAGGAAGATTAATTTTTCTATTACTTTAAAAATATGTCATGGGAAATCTAGATACAGGCCACATGATTTGGCTTACACTTAGAATATATGCAAATAAGCATGGGGTATTATAGTTAGAAAATAATTGTAATTTAAAAAACTAAAGCAGAGGAGTTCTGGTAAGATGGCAAAATAGGCAAAAAGACCTCACAGACCCTCTTCAACAAAGAAAAGGGGAACCAATTCACATAGAAACAGAAGATAATCCTGGACCCTTGAACCTTGCAGGGAAGGATATAGAAGTAGACTAAACTCCAACTAGCAGAAGAATTTGCATGAAAACACCAAAAAAGGAGACATATGGAGCTGCAGTCTAGCAGCAATCCTGATGGCACAGACAGCTTGGATATTGCTGGGTGGTGGTAGGAGCTAAGAATAAACCTAAATATCAGCCCTGCCAGCCAGGGACTGTGCAGAGGATTGCTCTAGTGGCTGGGGAATAAAAGACGAAGTAGCAGCTAAGAAGAAGGTGGGCTGAGCTGTGGACTTTTGCCTGTCCGGAGGGTGCAGCCATTTTGAATGTTTACACGCAGCTTGATTGACCATTTTGGATATTTTAAGTGACAGCTTTCTCCAGATTTCAGGGACTTGAGAACAGGCTCTGCTTGCTGGGAACCGCAAAGACATCCCAGACTCACAGACTACTAGAAAGGTGCTACATTCCTCTTGTTACTTTTATGTCTCACACCCTCTTGGTGAATGGAGGTGCGGCCATCCCTCAT